GAAGAGAAGAGAAGAGAAGAGAAGAGAAGAGAAGAGAAGAGAAGAGAGAAAGAAGGAAGATTTAAAAGGGAGTTGTGGTGCTATAGAGCACAGTACTTCTCCAACCGTGTGTGCCGGCGCAGGTACTGTGACACAGTACTTCTCAAACCATTTGTCCCCAAAGGTCTGGTTTGTTTTGCACCTCAATGTCTAAGCAAATGAGAAATACTTTTCCACTGTCAGTTTCTGGGCTTCCTTGGCGAAGCGAGACAGGAACACTGACCTGGCGAAGCCCCATTCCTGGAGCACCGCTGGAGAGCCCCACTGCACAGACCCTCTCGCTCTAGGGCTCAGCCTTCCTAGGTGTCTGGCTGAGGTCTTGGCTCAGAGTAGTGGGAAGGGCAAGAAAAAAAAAGGGACTTCAAAGTCGCCCCCCCCCCCCACTATGGAAAGATAGTTCGAAGGGTCTCTCCAGACAGAGGAAGCACAGCACTGACTCCCGGCGCAGTGGCGCCACCTGTCTGGAGACTGGGACGTCACCTGCTTGGCAAAGTCCATCTGCCCGGAACTCAGGGCCACCTTTACCTTCCCAGTGTGGGCTCAAGCTGCCTCTCCGAATGGGGACGGAGACCGCTATTAACACGGGTGGGACAGAAGGGGCTTCTAAGAGGCCCCCCAGTGGCCTTTCCATTTACTGCTCTAAAGATGGCTCCTCTCACACCTTGTATGTGACTGTGCATGCAAGGCTCAAGACTCACAGCGCAAGCCTTACTCAGTCGCTCCCCACGGCACTCACTGGATGGGATGTTCAGTGAACTCAGGGCTCGCAATATGAACCAGCTGCTGCATGGACCCTGTCCCACTATTGGAATTATGAGCAGGCTCCCACGGCCACTGAGCATTTACGTAAATTCTGGGGTTCAGACTGATCCTCTGGCTTGTGTGGCAGCCTTTAACCACCGAGCCGTCGCCTCATCAAAACAACTGGGGGGGGGGGGACGACAATCAGGAGTTCAGCTGCTCTTGCACAGGTTCAGGTTCAGTTCCCAGCACCCACGTGTCGGCTCACAACCATTTGCATATGTATGTACATTTATCAAGACGGCTTGTTTTATAGATATATACATGCATACATATATATATACACACACACATATGTACGTATAGATAATACACATGTGTGCATGTTGGAAAATATGTTCATATCAATGTATATTCATATATACATATTTATAGGGAAACCCTTTGTTAGTGACAGCCAGCTTTACAATGATGATAATAATAATGATGATAATAAAAATAAAAAGCCCCCATGCCTGCTGCCTTCATGCATGCTGGGCCTGAGGGAGGTGTGCTGAGCCATTCTCACCCATCTGAATGCTCAAGAGGAGGAAGTTCCCAGACCTCCAGGGTCTCTGCTTTTATGTAGTTCTCATTTTGAACTTTAGAAGCAGCCGGCCCCGCACAGGAAAACCTCCCCTCTCAGAGGTTTGTTTTCTCTTTAATGCAAACGCTGACCCCCACCCCCGACTCCTCGCTTCTAACCTAAATCATCTGCGGTTTCGGAGTTGGCTGCTCATGAAATTCTATCGGGAGGGCTGGCAGTAAACATTCCTATGGCAACGGAAGTTTTTGAAGCAATCTATGTACCGTTCCAGAGATGGTACATCATTAGCCCTGAACGCTGGTGAGGAGAGGGTTCTCGGGGAGAGGTGTTTGTGTACACAAAGTTAATACAGCTATTGGCAACTGAACAGCAGGCCTTATCGGGAGCCAAGACGTGAGAGGGTGGAAAGCAGGGAAAGGTTTAGTTCTGGGGAGCTGGGAGGTTCACAGCCCTGGTCCTGAGGCTCCCCCGTGGGCCACGAGTCCTTGGAAGGACTGGTCTGCGTAAGCTTGAGCTCAGACCAGCAACTCAGATCTTCATTCACCGTAGGTGCCCCTCTAGCTCCCTGGAGATGGGTTCCTCACAGAGCGACATGGAAAGCTACTTATGTGCGGGGGAGACTCAATGGAAGGCCTGCTGCAGGAGCAGGAGGCCTTGAGTCCGGTTCCTCACAACCCGTTAGAAAGGCTGGCACACTGGCCGGCTCTGTACTCCGAGCTGGGCCAGCCATTTAGCCGAGTCTGTGACTTTAGGGTCAGTGAGAGGTCTTGCCTCAAAAATGAAGTTAGCACATGATGGAGGAAGGGCACCTGGCAACGTTCTCTGGCGTTTGCACACACACTAAGAGTACATCTTCCACATACGGATCAATGCACACAGAAGGAAGCTGAAACCAAGTCGCTCAGTCCATCCTGGCATCCATTCCCCCACCCAGCCGCGGGAGTGTGTCTGATGCGCAGGTAATGGACGCATAAGTCACATGAGACCACTGTGCCCTGACTTCGGGGAGCTTGCAGTCTGCTGCCAACTAAGTAGGAATTAGAAACAACTGTGACAGTGGTGACCTAAAGAGATGAGGCCGCTGCAGTAGCAGACCAGCACAAGGAAGGGCCACCTTTGCTTTCCTCAGGAAATCATCTTGAATATGAGCCCTATGACCCAAAAGCACAAAGAACGCCGAGAAACAGCGCTGCAGGGTGGCTCTGTGGACGGCCTGTGCAAAGGCTCTGTGGTACGGGGCTTTCTTCCCTGTGTAACCAGGTTCCTGGCTTTGTCCCCATGCTCTAGTCACGACAGGCATTCAAACTGTGTGATTTTTGTTATTTGTTTGTTTTCAATTAGTTCTCCCCCTTCCCTAGCTGGCATGAAATATCCAAATAGGGGCCACCTCACCTCAGGGTTGTAGCTCAGTGATAGGGTTCATGAGGCCCTAGGTTCAGTCCCCAGGAAAACAAAAAAATTAGGGCTGCAAGAGCCTCCCTCAAGTGGCTGTGAAGAAAGGCACCCCATTCATGTACAAACCATGAGCGGCGACACTGAGCAGAGCTGGCTCCAATCTGGGCCTGCCCCTCACCGGCCACATGCTCTTGCTCCTCTCCCTGAGAGGGACAGGAAGTTCCACCCACAGGAGTCTCATGGATGAGGTCCACACTGAGCAGGCCCTGGCAACAGGGCAGCCGCTGCTGTGGGAACAGACAGCTATGACCCTCTCTCTATGTGCAAATCAAGAGGAATCGGGCGGCTGTGCAAGGCCAGAGGTTGGTCACTGTACCTGCCCGACAGCCCCAATGACTCATGGTTTCCCCGTCTGTCTTCAGGGAGTCACAGCTACTGGACTAGATTCCAGAATGGTACAGTTGTCACCTGGTGGAGGAGTGGAAATGGCCACATCTTGCGGGCCTAATTCGGGGCAGGCATGGCGACAAGACTTCCGTGTTACAGAAGCAACGGCAAGATGGTCCTGACAACACGACACTGCTGTGTAAGCACAGGGACCCACGCTAGAGCCTCATGGAGAAAAACTCAGGTGTGAGCCCATCATCCCTGCCGTGGGGAGGCGAAGGCAGGAGCATCGCTGGGGCTCGCTGGCCAGCCAGGCTGGCTTAACCAGACAAGCCCCTGGGATAGTGAGATGGCCAGCCTCAAAGCAGCAGATTAAAAAAAAAAAAATACAACAAGTAAGACGGGTGGAGTCTGAGGAGGACGACAATCGGGATTGTCATCTGGCCTCTACACACACACACGCTCATACCCACGTGTACAAAAGTCTTACACACTCCTGGGTCACCACGGAGGTCACTGGACACAGCATGGAAAACAAGGCCTGGTGATTCGTCCAAAATCCAGAAAACTGAATGGCTGAGTCCAGGCAGGAGGCATCAGGCCCTTCTTTGTCCCACCGCATCCCTCCTCCCAGGACAGAGACTGGACGGAGCCACTTCCCTTTTGACCATCAAGGACACTCTCTAGATGGGAGCAAGTCTTCCCAGGGACCCATGGCCAACCACAAGCCGCCAACACAGCCAGATCCTACACTCTCGTCCTCCGCCTGAGTCTGTTTCCCTCCCGAGCAACGACGGTGACAAATATTGGCTCCTATACTACATAACTATTGGAATCAGAGACGTGAAGTTAAAATAGTTTTTAACTGCACTGACGTGCGTGTGTGTCTATGTGAGCGTCTGTGCATATCTTTGTGTATGTGTGTGCCTGTCTTTGTGTATGTATGTGTGTGTCTGCGGGTCTGTGTGACAGTACTCCTGTGAAGGTGAGAAGACAGCTTTCGGGAGCTGGATCTCTCTTTCCACCACACAGGTCCCGGGGGTGTCAGGCTTGGTGGGGAGTGCTCTCACCTGTTGCCCCAAAATTGAGTCTGGGGGAACCACATCATTATACAGAAATGAGCACTTTAAAATGGGAGACCGGAAGCCTGAGTCAGAGACGCTGCTCCCTTAAGCCAGAGGGCAGCTGACATGGAAGGAACAGGCAGGGGTGTGTGTGGGTTGGGTGTGTGTGTGGGGGGGGGGTCTGGCACGGAAGGGAGAGACACAGGATATAGCCTACTGGACTTCCCAGATGGGAAGAGGGACCAAATGAAGTGTGGAGAATTTCCTCCTTGCCACCCGCAGTAAGCTAG